TAGCCCTTCCTCTTATTTCCTTTCGTTAGTCGTATCTAGTCCAGAGAAGTTCAAAGCCGAGTTGTCATCGTACACCCTATACTCTTCAAAATTCTTCGTATGATCGTTAGGCATAAAGGTTAGTTCAAGGGAGGGCTGGGTAAAGCTAAGGTTTTGCTGTCTTCTTTTCACGCAGTCGCGGTTCTGCATGATTGTTATCAATTGCGATATCGGCGATTTTAAGTGAATTAGACACCACTGTAGGCTGCAAGACGAAAACCGAAAATCTAACCATCATCAACACACCTTTTTTCCCGAAAATAATCTCTCTGTATGATTGTTATCAGTTGCCGCCACGTGTACGAGTTCAGGTTAACTAGTCAAAGAGCTCTTGATTGTGGGACGGGTAACATTCAGGAGCCATGAGGAGGTACAACGGTTTACAAGAGACTAATCGTTTGGCCAAATTTTTCACCAACACGAAAAATGACAGTGAAACGCAATGGAAATAATAATAATAATAACAATAATGGAAAACAATGATCAAAACCGAAAAAGCGCCATGAATAATTATCCAAATCGAGGAAAAGTGGCGGCACAACACCAGGGAATGACAAAAACCGAAAAGCGTCTTTTGTGTGTTCATAAAAACCGAAAAATCACTGACCGAAAGGAAATGTAGGAAGTCATAGGTGGTGGAGACTAAAGCCATTGAAAAACAAAAACATGAACGCAAAAATAATCAGTACCGAATAAATGTGTGCCCTATCATCCCCAACCTCCCCTCCCCCCTCATTCAAATGTCAGTGGAAAGAAGATAGGTGATCGAGATTAAAGTTATTATATGATAAGTTATGCACGCATAGCTCTAGAGATTACTTCAGGAACACGTCTGCCACCAAAACTAGCGTCTTTAATCTACTGATAACTCCCAGAAGATAACAGACATTGAAAACCAAAGAGTAACAAAGATAAATCTTCAGTTACCTGACGATAAATTGTTTTCCTCTCAGAATCAAATGCAGTTTAGAGTGCGGCAATGAAAGACTTCCGATGCGCCCTGTCTTTCCTCCAATATGAATCTGTGAAATCAACATCAGTTATGCAAGTTCCCGCTGACCCAGGAAATCAGAAGAAAATTTTCAATTTTTCTCTCATTGGTTGACTTGCATTGGGAAACAACGCAAATAAAAAAGGGACCCAGAATGAATAGA